ATTATTATATTAACTTTGTTGACTGTAGGTGTGGTTGGCTGAACAATGCGAAGGAGAATCAATGAGAGTTGTTTATAGAATGAGGGGTCTTCTTGGAGACGCTACTGAAGAATTTGTTGAAACACTCAGAGCAAAAACTCAACAATCAGTTGATAATGAAGAACTGTATAAAATGGCCAATGTACTTGCAGATTGTGGAGGATTACAGGTATTTTTGTTAAGATTATTAATGACTTTAATTAATGTGTGATAGGTTAATAAATTTATGAAAAATTATATACTGGCTCACAAAGTTCACTCAAGATTTGAGTAAAAACCCAAGCCTTTCTTTATAGGATTGATTTATATATACAATATGTTTCAATATTAACCTAAGATGTTGATGCTTAGAGGTTTCTGATAATTATACAAATTAATAAAAAATATAATGTTAATTTTATATATCTGATGCTGTATATGAGCGAATTCTACCCATGATATGGAATAGGTTGAATATTTTGAATAAGAAATCTGTTTTTTTTTTTGTAGATCATGCTTGATAGGCTAAATGCTATTCAAAATGTTTCAAGGTCTAGACCACTTTTGCAAGTGCTACTTAAATTATTCAGATTATGTGTAAAAGTTAAAAAATGCCAAGAAGTATTATGCAGGCCGGATCTAAGTTCTGTATCCGTATTTTTGAAGGTGAGTAAGCCTAAATAAATAAATAAATAAATATACATAAATATATATGTATATGCATTTTTTTGTATACATCATAAAAAATAACTATTTAATGAAATAACCCAATTCATATAGGTCCTACAACTATGTCTGCAAAGTGAATCAGATTCACAGTTAGCATCTGTAACGGAACAATTACTTGATGTGAGTTGGCATTTTAATTAATTCATATACCAGGTTGCTAAAAAATTATTTTTTAACTCTTTTTATTTTTACTGTTACTCAATATGGATTTGTTTATGAACTCCCATTTTATCTAATAATACTCAACTAATCTTTTTTAGCACACATTCACTTTATATCTACTGTTATATTTAATATAATCTACATATTTTATATCTGACAGATTATGGAAACAATACTTTCTAAAGCCGCAAATGAATCACTAGCATCATTTTTGCAATTTTCATCAACATTTGGAGGCCCCGAATATGTGCAGGCATTATTATCGTGCACTAATAATTCATCTGTAAGAAACAATCCATCAGTTCTGAATCATCTTACAAGAGTTGTAGCAGCATTAGTTTATGGAAATGATATTAAAATGGCTTTATTGTGTGAACACTTTAAGAAATGTTTAGATTTCAATCAATTTGATTTTGAGCGAACGGCTGAAGATGAATTTAGATTAGAATTATTCTGTGTACTTTGTACTGGCATAGAGAAGAACTGCATAGGCGGTACTTTGAAAGATTACATAATATCTTTAGGAATGGTCAAAAATGCATTAGAGTATATTACAGTAAGTATAAATTATAATTTAATTTGTATTTATCTATTTAAATGCTAAATGTTTTAATTGTTGACAGATGCACGCTCCTTGTGTTAAACCTACATTGTTAAGAACAGATTCAGATGAATTGAAAGAATTTATTTCTAAGCCTGCTTTGAAATATATTTTAAGATTTTTAACAGGATTAGCTACTGAACATGAAGCTGCACAGGTATTTTAATAAAGTAATATTCAATTTATTTTTGTTTTAATAAACACTATGTTTGAAATTGATAAGATTTATTAGTTATTAAAACACTCTTTAAATGTGACATTGAAAAAATTGAAATTTATGTCCATCCAGTCATTGTTTGCATTCAACTCCGATACATTTAAACATTTTTTTCGACAGATTGGTATGTTAAATATACATGTCTTATTTATTATAACAAGTTTGTATAATTCACATACACATGTCTATACTATTCTTATTTTCCCTTTGAATATATTTTAGATACTGATATCTCAAGATATAATTCCCATAATACACAGACTTGAACAAGTGTCTTCAGATGAGCATGTTGGATCGTTAGCAGAAAATCTTCTTGAAGCCTTGAGAACAGATCCTGCGACTGCAGCGAGAGTACAACAAGTAAGAATTTTATTGTTATATACACAATTGATTTCATCTACTCGAAATTTATTAGCATATTAAAATATCATAAGTTACCATTTTGTAATATTAACTTATGTTCGTATTGTTTTTATATTTATAATGATTCAAGTATTTTATAAAGTATATCAAATACTGTTATTGAGTTTTTTTCATTCAGACAACATTTGCTTGATTTATAATCTAAAACGTTTGATTAAAGGTTCGTGATTTTACAAGAGCAGAGAAGAAAAGATTAGCAATGGCTATGAGAGAGAAACAACTTGGAGCTATGGGCATGAGAACAAATGATAAAGGCCAGGTAGACAATATCAACAAAAATATTAGTGTTATTGATTCTAAGTTTATATGTATATATTTTTTGTTATTTAATTAAAATGAATTAGGTTACGGCTAAATCTACAATACTGCAGCAAATGGAAGATCTAGGCGAGGAAACTGGTTTAGTTTGTGTAATTTGTAGAGAAGGGTACAAATGCCAGCCAACAAAAGTTTTAGGTGTATATACCTTCAGCAAAAGATGTAATGTTGAAGAATATGATTCTAAGGCAAGATGGACGATGGGATATACTACTGTCACACATTTCAATGTTGTGCATTTTGAATGTCATATGAGTGCAGTTAGGTAAATAATCCAATCTTCGCTTTCAAATCGTTCATATTTATTTTTTTTATTATTCTGTATGTACATATATTACATAATCAATAACGAAGCAAGTATTGATTGATTAGTGATGTAAAATCATCTATTTTGAATACGTAAAACGTTCCGCAGCATTTTAATATATTTGTTATTAATTATTTGTATATATGCGTATATCAATTGATTGAATTACATTTGCTTTGTTCTGTTTAATATACACTTTATATTTTTAGATTGGCTAGAGCAAGAGATGAGTGGGAAAGTGCTGGCTTACAAAATGCTAACACGAGATGTAATGGTTTGTTGCCATTGTGGGGAATGCAAGTTCCCGAACTAGCATTTGCCAGCAGTCTTGCCAGACATGACACATATTTGCAGGTATGGTCTGCTATTGATAGTGTATTTTTTTTAACTTCCCGAAGGAGAAGTTTATGTTTTCATAAAAAAATCCAATTCGCTAATTTTGTTTTCTCGACGAATCGAATTAGACCAGATTTTCAAAAAGTATGTGTGTGTGTGGGTGTGCGTGAACAGATTTTTTCAACTAAATCGACGTTTTCCCAAAAACGGCTGTTTCGATTTCAAAAATTTAAGAGTATCTCAGTGAGGACTAGCGTTTATCAATTTTGTGCGACGATCGGCTAACCGTTTCTTCGAAAATAGCAGAAAAGTGAAAATTTTTTCGTCCACGTTTTAGCTCGCAATTCAGAATCTATTTTGAAAATTCAAAAATCGTTCGTAAGATAATGGTTGGGAATCGACCTGATTAGTTTTTGGTAAAGATCGGCCGGGCCGTTTTCTTGTAATAAAGTGTTAATTTTTTTTTTTGACGATTTTTATGATTTTTTTTTGTCATAGATATCATCTTCTAGATCATACTAAAATATTACGGCCCTCCGACAAGTCGTTTAATTTTGAAAATTCGTCAAAGTTTGCAAAAATTAGTAACGTTTTTTTGGCGTTTGTCAAAATTAGACCTTTCATCGACGTTTGCTCAAAAACGCCTGAACCGATTTCAGAAATTTAAAAGCCATTTAATGTATTTAGATGAGGATTATCGTTTGTCAGTTCTGTGCGACGATCTGCCGAGCCGTTTCTTTGTAATTTGGAAAAAAGTGTTGAAATTTTCGTCCACATTTAAGCTCCACTACTGAATCGATTTAACCCTTTCGACTCGGATGCCGCCGCTCCGGCGGCAAATCGTGTCGGCGACGACTCGTCGCAAACTACACTTACATTTAATTTTTTTTTATTTTTTAAAAATTAATTTACTATTACATTCATTTATTGATTGATTTATTAATTTTATAAATAAATATATAACAAAATTAATTTATTAGCTCATGATCCCCATAATTCTAATAAAGATCTGAGAAGAAATGATTTTTTAAACAATATAGCATGGTTTTGAGTGCAATTTTTTTTAATTTTCAAAATTTTCTATTTTATTATCATAATAACTATATTTAAAAGCAATATAACCACATTTTGAAAAAATCCGATACAAAAAAAAATTCCGAGTTGAGAGATAAGTATAGCACTATAATATTCCGAGCGCAGCGTACCGACTGGCAGTCCGACTCCCGAGTCGAAAGTGTTAAAAATCGATACTAAGTTGGGTATGATACTGGTTAGTTTTAGGTGAAAATTTACCGAGCCATTTTCTTGTAATTAACAGTTGAAAAAAAAATTTAAGCCGATTTTTATGGAACTTTTTTTGGCGATATATATCATGGTCTTATAGAACTTACTGAAATATTACGGCCTTACGACAAGTAGTTTAATTTTTAAAATCCATCAAAGTTTGAGAAAATGAGTAGTTTTTTTTTTAAGTTTGTTAAACTTAAAATTAGATGATTTACTTGGTATAACGATAAAGTACTTGGTTTTGATGAACATACTAGACCATTAAAGTCCTAAGGGAACTGGTTCAATTATGTGTAATAAATCCACTTGGAATACTTTTAATCACTCATAAGTTAATTAATTTTTTATTGGTTAAGTTGATTATTTACGCATATCGGGAAGTTCATGTAACTTGCTTCAAGGCAAAATACCAATACCAACTAGTTAGATTTCTTTTTATGTATATATACACTTATGTAATTTGAGACATTTTTATCAACAAATGCCCAAATTCATATTTTGAACTCAAACTACATCATTATGTGATACAAATACAGATAGAATCTAGAAAATTTTAATAATTTTAATAATTTTCAAGTTATTATTTTTATATTTCAGGAAAGCACAGGACATCGTGATATTGGTTACTCTTCAACTATTCATGACTTAAAATTGCTGCTCTTGCGGTTTGCCCAAGAAAAAAGTTTTCACGAAGATGCTGGTGGAGGTGGTCCACAATCAAACATGCATTTGGTCCCATATCTTATTCACATGGCTTTATATGTTATAAACACGTAAGTTTAGAAATAGTTTTAAATGTAATGTGAATTATTAGAATAATTAAAACTATTCAAAATGTATATTTTTAACTTTCCAAAGAAGTATGTTTCCGCAAAAGAATCCGATTTTTTAATTTTAAATTAAAAAATTAATTTCTCGACGTTGAAGTTTTCTTCTCGACGTTGAAATTTTTTTCTCGACGTTTCAAGCTATTCTGAATCGATTGAGATCAAATTGGTAAAAGTTGTATATATGTGTGTGTATGTGAGTCGATCTTTTATCTTTCGTCAAAGTTTTCTCAAAAGCGGCTAGAACGACTTCAAAATTTAAAAACTATTCAATGTAACTAGGTAAGGCAATGGTTTCCAAAGTTTTTGTACCGCACCCCTGAAAATTTTGAAATTTGCTTGAACCGTATAAATAAACTTTAAAAATTAACAATCTTGGTATGGAACCCAACAAAATTGTAACAAAATTAGTACTCATTTTTAAACATTTTTATCAAATATCAGATAATTTGATGTGCATATGTCTAATGATCATTTTTGGCCGCCAAATATCTTTTTTTTTTTACTTTTTTCTGTGTATCTCCAAACCCGCTTAACCTGCCTTACCAAAAATTTCACTAATTCTTCATTTAGTGAATACAAGTAACATGTTTTTTGAATCATTCAAATCGGGTACTCCGTTCTCTCAAAAACGACTGGACCTGTTTCTACAAAAAACTAATCAGCACGTCTTCTCATCAATAGGAATCGAATGTTTTTTGAATAATTCAAATCGGTTGATTTGTGCGCCCGAAATCGTGGGCGGAAAAATTAAAACATACTCACACACACATACATACATTTTTTGTAAGCTATGCCAAAATGTTCAGAAACCTTCAAAACGTGAAGATATGCAAAAATGTTCATTTTTGATTTTTTTGCGATTACTATAACTTACCCTGCGAGATTGATTATATTATTGCTCATTGATTTATATTGCTATTTTATTATTCAAATGATCTTTATCTCAGAACACGGACAGCTGGTCGGGAGGAAAAATCTTTAGTGACTTACCTTGACACATCAATGGGTGAAAGATGCATAGAGAGTGCTCACGAGGCAGAGGGTCCTTTATATTCAGCCACTATGTCATTGCATATTCATTCTGGACGACGATGGAAGCGACATAGATTGACCCATTTACGAAGGCTAATTGTAATACATTCTTTTGGTTTTTACTTTATCGTTTTATGAAAATATTTTTATTGGAAGTAATTAAAATTGCAAATACATCTTTCTTAATTCCTAAAAGATATTTTAGATATCAAAGATATATACCAGGCACTTCTGTCTGTCTGAGATGTATAAGATTTATATTAAAATTCAAAAAAAAAAAAATAGATGCAGACTTATTATATGTGAACTGCTTTACTTATTATTGTCTCCAATATTTTAATTTTTTAAAATAGATTATTTTCAATAACTTAATGTATACTCAAAATTCCAATTTTTACAAGATATTCGATGGTCCGGAGAAACAAAAAAAGCTATAAATTGTAATTTGAATTATTTTTAGATTTTGGCTCATGTAAGAAGAGCACATCACATAGGACCAGTAAGAAGCATTGAAGGTCATAAGGTTCCATATGCCTATGCAGTATATAAACCATATCTTATGTTCTTTAGTCTCATTGATTTGGCTTACAAGCATTTTTTCAAGGTATGTTCTTATTTAATAAATATTATTTAAAAAATACTATTATTGAAATATTTTTCTAAAAGAGCATTACTAGTGTTATTAAGCTAATGAGTAAGAAAATGTGTGCTTATGATACTATTTAGTTTCATATTTGCTATCCTTTAGCAAAACTGTATCAACTAATATTTTCATTATCTAATTTTTTTCACTTTTTTTATACACATTCTCAGAAATTTAGTGATTTCTTCAATTACTTACCTAATTAGATTTGAATTATTTTTCCAGAATGTACCAGAAGATGATTCGTGGCCCATAGATTTAGCATTGTTTATTCGAAGAAGCGACGAGCAGTTGATAAGATCTTCTGAAGCGTTATTAACAGCTTATAACGAAGAATTTCTGCCTTGTACTTCTTTTGAAGAGTTTTGTGATGTTGCAGGTAAGCTTCCTTCTTTATATCAAGTTTAACTATACAGTAGTTTCAAAGGATTCAAACCTGTTGATCTATCCCGTTTTTTACCTGCCAGTTCATTTACATGTTACACATCGATTTGTCAATGATTTCACATAAATCTATTGTGAGATTTTTTGTCTTGTCATTAGTACACTCAATTGTATTAGAATAAAAACAGAGAGGAGGTCTTACGTTATTGATAGTTAACCTTTTGGCTATGTGCGTCGTCTATAGATGACATCCGCTTGACGACCTATCTGAAAGAGTGTCGTTTAAAGACTACATAATGTGTCAAATTTTGCAACAATGTTCATCACATTTGGTTAAATTGTTGAAAGTTCCAATTTTTTATTGTGGTATTTAGTTTCTGAGAAGTGTAATTTTTTATTTTTGAGTACTGATAATATTTTATTGATAACGATTGGAGAATCTTAAAATATTTTGGGTAACGAGTACGTGGGCGGACAACTGGCTCGTATGAACTGTGGGACTCCGCTGTAACGGTTGACTTAAAAATTGCATAACTAATTGAGACCTCTTTATAAGAATTTTGATAAAAATTTTGTATGAAATTTTAGGGACCATATGTGACTCATCTTTGCTGTATTTTTATAATGTATTATTGTTACAGGTCTATTAGAAGAAATACCAGAGCCAGCAAATTATATACCGGATATTTTGAATGGTTTACCATAGAGAAATATTACTCAATTTTCATATGTTTATACATGTTCTATATACTAAGTGTGTTGTAACCAGATCATCTGAATAACCCACAGACCTATAATTTCATCAAATATATGATTGTTAAAGTGCTTACTTTAATAATATGTATCTATAATAATACACAAATATGCTTTGTATGATAAATAACTGTTATTTGTTTAACTCGTAAATCTATATTTCAGATATTTATTAATTAGAGTTGTTTGCTGATATAAGGAAATTTCCTCATGTAAGGAAGCATTTGCTTAAGAAATATGTAATGAATGAAAATCAACAAAAAAGACTTCTTTTTTTGTAATATTATCTATGTTCGTCTTCTATCATTCTCATTTAGATAATTTATAATTCAATTCGACGGAATTTAATGTATGTACTTTATTGATTGAACAATTATTATATATTAAGAATTTTTTTTGTATGTATTGTATGAACAAAGTTGTGTTGTATGAAAAAACGTACCAAATTCGAGACGATATCAACCTTACATAATTACTTTATGCTAACAACTTATAGGCTAATAAATTAAATTTCTACTGCTATACCGGATAATGAAATTAAGTTTTTGACTTGTTACATCGCAATAACTCAAAACGATAAGAGATATCAAAACATGCCATTTGTTATAAAATTGCAAATAATTCTTGAAATAATTTTTGAAATACTTCACGAAATCGTTGTGAAAAATAATTTTTCGTCATTTTCACGATAATTATTCATCTGATATTAAAACATTGAGAATTTTCAGTTTCCTGCTGATAGTTGTTTCATTCAGAATTTAAAGACAAAACAGCAAAGTCAAAATTTGAATATGAATCCAATAACAGTTTGCAATAGTTGTTTGTTTGAGTTAAAAAAAAAAAATTTCTCGCTGCTTTTCTTTAAAGCAAAAAAGGGATGAATTTTTGTATGTTGTTTATAATGTAAAATATTAAATTATTAACTTGTAGTCGGGAAACATTTGTGCCCCTTGGAAATAATGTTTCTTTGGAAATAAATGTCTAAATATAATTTTATTTTCAAGCTACTTACGTATTAAGTATATATTTTAAAAAAGATTCTCTAGGAAAAATTTTGGTTTTTATTCAGATTCAACTTTCTCCGCAACCGGCGATTATGTTTTACTATAAACTTTTGTTTACTTTTACGATAATTTAGTTATAATTATTAAGTTTATTTTTGTGACTTAAATCATATATATAAATAAATTTATTTATAATATAAAAGGTAATTATCGCGTTTCGCGAAATTTTTCTTTAGAACGATATTTATGTAAAATTATAGCAAAGAACAAAAACAATGATTGGATAGAAATAACTTATTATTACAAATTCAAATAAATTAGTAATTTTCTGGTTCATTTATTGTTTCTTCAACTGCCTGCGACTGAATTTCATTATGTGTTTCTGGTTCAGCAGTTTCAGTATGTGCTTCAGTTTCTTGTTGCGTCTTGTTCACTTGAGTTTGTTCGGGCTGATTATTTTTCAGAAGTTTTTCAGCATTTTCATGAAAATAAGTAGCAGTTGCTTGAAGGCTTTCACGTTCCCATTCTCCTAAAGGTTGTTTCGAAATCTGCACTACTCCTCGCGCTCCTACGATACACGGCAGTGACATGAAGACGTCTTTGTCTTTTCCGTGTCTACAACCCTTCAAATTTAGATAGTTAAGGTTAGTATTGTAATATGTTATTTTTAGTAAATATGCATTTTTATATATTATTTTTTTTCTGAATTATTAGGTAGCAGACTCTGACCGAAACCCGGAAACGCCTTCTGTTGTATAATGTAGAATGGGCAGTAGCGTGAATTATAATTAGGTGAAAGTGTTATTTTTTCAGTTTATAATCTTTGCTATATTAAAAATAGTTAAGTAAATAATATATAGTTAAGTACATTAAGTTTTTTTACTTTTTTTACTAGATCTCCGAAACTGCTAGACCTGCCTTCCCAATTATAGTTGTTCATTTTGTCAATGCACGTAAAATGTTTTTTGAATTACTAAAAACGAACGCTCCGTTATCTTATTAAAAACTGAGTTACCGTTTTTGGCCCATATCTTTGGAACGGCTAGATCTGCCTTTGCCAAAAACTAATCAGCACGTCTCCTTATCAATACGAATCGAATGTTTTTATTTTTTGAAATATTCAAATCGGTTAATCGGTGTTCTCTAAATCGTCGATAAAAATTTGTATCCCACACACACACGCACACACATCCATTTTTTTAAGATATGGCAAAATGTTTAAAAATCTTTGAAACGCAAAGATATATACAAATTTTCATTTTCGATTTTTTTGCGATTACTATAATTTACCGTACGAGAAGTTAATAAATAATAATAATGGCATCATCTAGATTATTTTTTACTCATCTCTTAATTGCCAAGAGTTTAGTTGCGCAATTTCCAATATTTTGCTATTGTAACCCGAATTACTTAATATATTAACAAAAGGAAAATTAACTATTAAAGAAACTATTAATTAGAAATGTGTGCTGGTGTTTGCGCACAACTAAGCCATCATTAATTGATATATTCAAATTTGAATGATTGAATTTAGAATTACTCAAGTAAAACTTATTTTAACGCTGGTGCTAATGAATTTTTGTTATCAATTTTAACATTTTCACTAAAAAAACTTCTGCTGTATGTAAATAAATCGCATTTTTTTGCAAAAGAACGTTAATTACTTCTTCAGTTGAAAGATAATTAGTTCATCAGTATGTCAAATACTATACAATACCTTTACATATGTACTCAAAGTATAGCATTCCATGGTGTTGTGCAAAATACTCCTTGCAATATTTGCCAGTATTATACCCGGTGCCCAAGAGGAAGGAGAACCATTTTTTCTTTCACGAATGCGTGAGTCTCTGCATGATTTTAATTGTTATATATTTATATAATGGGATTTAAATGTTTGCTAATTTGATAAAAGTTACATTTCGGCTGCTTCTAATCCAAGTTCATGCCATGTTTCAGGATCATCTGAATAACCAGCTTGTTGGTTAATGTCTTGAAGACGAACTGCTCCAGCTGTCACACTTGTCCAAATTGGTACTGAAATTGAATTGTGCATTAATACCTAGCAAATACAGTGAAAATACATGTACGATAATTGTTATTAGAATGCAGAATGAACTTATGAATGAATGCAGAATAATATGAGGTAAGTGGTACTCATATCCTGAAATGATTTTTATTTAACGTTTTACTGTATTATTTATTAAGCTTTTTATATATTTTAAATAGTATACGCTATCGTTATTCATTAGTAATCGTTGTATATTAATTGCTGAAAATAGCGTTGCCTTCTACGTCCTCGTTCTTCATACTTAAATTTTTTAAAAGTATTATCACGTTACTGGTATTTTATTTAAATCGCGTCTGATACTTTCATTGCAAGTATTTATACAAACCGCATGTTTTTCCGGTTTCGCCAATTACTAATGCTTGACAACTAGAGGGTGATATATCTAATTGACATCCAACGAGAAATCTTAATCGTGCCGATGAAACTGCATTTCCAAGTCCAATAACCCTATTCGAACTAAAGTTTTCGACACTCGTTTTAGCCATTAGCCATAAAGAATAAGTGATCATATCGTCTGTTAAAGAATTTTATAGCATTCATATACAATGGAATATTTTTATTTCAAGTTATTCTAGTAAATTTTATTCTGTGATATACTTACAGGGGTATGCAGCGTTTATGATTACACAATTTGGACTCTTTTTTATTATTTCAGGAATAGCTTCATTTAATTTGTCATAATTTCCTGTAAACTTCAACGGTCAGAATTTATGAAATTGAAAAATTAAGTATTATATTATATACCTTTCACGCTATCGAGATCATCAGTTTGATTTAGAGAATTGTAGTCCGGTCCAACAATTACTATTTTCGAATTTCTTGTATCGTCAATTACTAATTGAACAAATATCTCATTAATTAACTTCACGTAGGGTAATTTTTAGTAATCGCAAAAAAATCGAAAATGAAATTTTTTATATATCTTTACGTTTCGGAGGTTTCTGAACATTTTGGCATATCTTAAAAAAATGGATGTATGTGTGTGTGTGTGTGCGGATACAAATTTTCGTCGACGATTTTGGGAACACGGATCAACCGATTTGAATAATTTAGAAAACATTCCATTCGTACTAAGGAGACGTCCTGATTAGTTTTGGCAAAGGCACGGGGCGAAAAGAGCCAAAACAAGTAATTCAGTTTCTAGAGAAAACGGAACGTCTGTCTGATTTGAATAATTCAAAAAATATTTTATTTGTATTGACTACACGAAGAACTGCTTAAATTTTTTGGAAAGGCGGGTTCAGCGATTATGAACTCTCAATAAAAAAAAATAAAAATGCCATTATGCGGTTTTCAACCTTTACCCTTTTGCTTGTGCAGACGGAGTTGCAAAAAATGGTTTTACAAAAAATTTCGTAGTTTTGAAAATTTTTAGAAATAAATCCAAAATTTTCAAAAAACTCAAATTTTTGAAATTTTTTATCATTTTCAAAAAAAACAGAATTTTGAAAAATTTCGAAAAATATCAAAATTAATAAATAATCTGTTTGAAATTATTTAAAATAATTATTGATTATTTTCATTCCTTAAATTTTTAATGACGGTACGGGAATTTGCCTTAAGGCACAATGCCATGCACCACTTGTTTATTCTTAAATAATCGTCGTTTATCGCATGGATATAGCCAAATTGAAACAATCCAGCGCCGTTGAGAAATTACTGGCACATTAGTAAGATTTGTTTTGGCTATGCCTATGCCTTATATTTATTCTGAAATTTTTTATTACCATCCGTAGCAAAAATTTGTGCATTATTGAGATAAACGGTGGCAGTTTGAATATCCATAACTTCGGGAATAGCCTTGTCCAGCGTTTTGTCAAATACTACGATGTTGCTGGTAACATGCTTGAAATAATAGAATTTCACAGTTTAATTTAGATGGTTTGCTTTCAGAAAAATATGAAAATTCTGACATATATTTATATACTTGTGTGAGCAAGGTTATGACACAAGCCATTGATGCTACGCCGCTACCAAGAATTGTAACTTTATGAAAAAGAGCTTGTGTTATT